AACGACTTGTGTACCAAAATGACTATCATACACTTTATCTGCAGATGAAAGTGACAGAAGACTTATAGATTGTAAAGATAGTTTTTAGAATTGATATCAGAAACATTGCATTGTAAAAATTGTAATTTTTAATTGTTTTTTTAAGTTCGAACATTCAATTTTTATAATTTATAAACTTCAACAAATTCTCTTTGTTCGGTAACTTTTGTCTCTTCGTTAACGCAATTTTTGCATTACTTGTACTTACTATGTATGTCCTGACAAATAATCCATGCTGTTAGCTGATTATTTTGACTTGTTGATAACTTGTCATGTGCTACTGACAAGTGCTCCGCGAACGCTGGATATTTTGTTAAAATCACAGATTTTCGACTCCGTGAACGCATGAAATTGGACACAATTTGCTTGTCAGAGACAGGCTACGCGAATAAGGCTAATTAGAAACGTAAAAAATCAAAAAATCAAAAAAAATTGGTTATCCTGCACAATAATGTAAATGAATCAGCAGCTTCTATATGCTTATATCAAAAGAAAGTGCTGCCAGTTGAGGAATAATTTATTTATAAATCTTTCATTGTAGAACTTACCTCAAATAAAACTAATTTGTATTTCCAAAATATTCAACAGTCATTTGTCAATTGTATGTATATTTTTATTTCTTGTTTAGAAATATTATCACTACTTTTATAAAATTTTTAGTGATTTTACAAATAGTTTTGTGGCTATGGGTTATAGCCACAAAACTATTTTTGTGTTAAAGTAGACCTCTCTAGAGAGCTTTGTTTCTAAATAAAGCAAAACATTAAAAATTTTGACTTAAATACAGTTTTTTTCAGGATGTGCAATATTTAAATGTTATACCATAATTATAAATTAAACAAAGAATACAAACAAATTATAAAATAAAGTAGCCCGTTTCCATTTGATAAAATTTGGTTATGGTGAATTTAAAAGAGGAGATTTTAAAAAATACCCAGTATAGGTAATAATTTCTGTGTCACTGAAGAAAAATAACACATATCAGCAAAAACCACATGTTTCTACTATTTGTTTAAAAGTTATAAGCTCTGGAAATAGATAACTTTTTATTGGGACACCCTGTAAATAAAATTTGTATAACTAAAGTCAGGAAACAAAAAAATAAAAATAAAATAATTTAATTAAGAAATGAGGAAAACAAAATTTGTCAAGTTAGCGAAAATAGTAAATATGTGTAAAATAGGAAAACAGAGTCAAAACAGTAGATCTACTACAGTATGTCCAAAATAAACAGTAATGAACTTATATAATTCTTTTTTTTAAGAAATACATATTATTTAGACCTTATCCTTGAATATTGGAAACACCTCTAATTAATTGATGGTTTGTGGTGTATTTCTGAAGACTGTTTCTTTGTTCATTGTATCTGGAAAGGTAAGATCTGGTAGTTCTTGTCAATTACGAGCTACTATGTAAGTCCTGTTTATTTTGGGCCATACTGTATTAAAAAGCAGGTCTTGCAACACTGCTATAATCTCTAAATCAAAAATCATTTGTAATAATTTGAACAGCTGCAGGATATCGCTGAAAATAATGGATATCTTAAAACTATTAGCATGTAAACAGTAATTGAATTGGTACTGCTATCTTCTGTATAATACTTGTATATTTCCATGTAATAAATCCTGGGATTTGGCTACTTTTTCTACTGTTTGATTGGCAGGTTCAGTATTAATATTAAAAAATAATTGTCTAGTAAATTAATTGATATAATCAGGCAGCCAATACATACAATTTAACATCTTTTTGTAAATAATTACCTCAAATTATAAAACATTTGTATTTAGTTCATCTTTAAACTTTAAAATTGCTTTCTTAAACATCTTGGTAATTGTAAATCAAGGGTTAAAGGCATACTGTTTTCTTAAATTAAATATTAAAACAAATTGGCATTTATTATAAATCTTCAAAATTATATCAAGATATTATAAAGCTGTCATTATTATTATTAAGTACTTTACAGTATGAGACTTAAAATTTTAATAACATACAATTTCAGAACAGCATAGAAACACAACAGTATTGATTAAAGATAAATAGAATAATAGGTAGGTGTACCACAATATATGCAAATATCCTATGCGATTAATCCAAAGGGCATGGTTAAAGCAATTGCACTCTTTATTTCAAATTTTTATATTAGGATTTCTAGTATATGAATATAAAACTGCCAGAACAAAGCTCTATCTTAATAGGTACTTAGTACTTACATTATGTATTTGTGTACTTCTATTTTGCAAGTATCATGTGGCGATTTTGTAGAATTCGTGACGGTCGTTTCCACAACAGGTTATCTTCTTACGCCCGTATGCACCGTACACGTTTAATCCAGATCAAGGGTTTAATCGCATTTAGTACCATTTTTAGCTATGGTACTAAACGCGATTAAACCCTTGTTCTGGATTAAACGTGTACGGTGCATACGGGCGTTAATCTTTTAATCTCATTTTTCTAGATTCTAGATCAAGTTTTATGACAACTTAAGGCCATTATCAAGTCCCAAACTAGACCTGAAAAAGTAAGATATGTAAATTTGGCTACAAAAACTACAAAATTAACTAAAATGTTTACAAACATATGAAACTGATACTATATTTTTAAAAGAAATACCTGCATTTTCCAGCGGAAATTAAAAAATTTTAAATTTAAATGAAAGAAAAAAAATACGGGGTTATTTTCTTTCTTCTATACTTTTCAAATTTTGTGGTCTTTTTCTTGAAGAAATTTGGTATTTCTTTTAGATAAATTTTTTCAAGAAAGAGGCCCATCATTTAAGATGGTAAAGAAGAAGATTGACATTTGACAGATTTTTCTTTCACTTGTCAAATGTCAGTTATTCTTCTATACCACCTTAAATTACGGGCCTCTTTCTTGAAGAAAATTGGTAATTTAACCTCTGGCTTGTATTAATCAATATTTTGTCCACAATTTTTTTTAAATTGTTTATTATAGAACAGAAGTAAAAGTTGGAAATGCTTTTGCCAGTTCTCCCACTTTATACACATAAATTGACAGGTTGGCAGCGGATATCACCGAAGTGGACGCGATACATTGGCGTACAAAATTATTTTATAGATGTTAATAACAATTTCGAGTAAATAGTTTAATAAATTGTGAATAGCTGTTGAAATTTTGTAAAATTATGATTTGAATATTATAATACATGTTTAATAATTATTTATAATCCATAAATACATGCGATTGTCCGGTTCCGCCGATAACAATTTAAAATTACTTATTCTATGAAACGACACTGGCAGGTAAACATTATACTGCGAAATTCTCGGAGCCGCCCGACGTGGTTTGACGTTTACCCCCTCTCTACCTACCAAAAGACTTTTCAACTTTTACTTTCTCTATACGAGAAGAAAGGCAAATAACAAAATAGAAGAAATACCAAATTTCTTCAAGAAGGGGGTCACTAAACCTGACCCCCAAAAATTTTTTTTTGCAAATTTTTGAATTTCTATTAGCTTAAATCGTTTGTTCGTTGTTTGTTCTTAATTGTTCGCAAATAATAATTGTTTGTTCTCATTTCGTTTATTTATAAAAGTAAAAAAATTGATCCTCTATTTAGCCCCCAACAATTTTTTTCCAAGTTTTTGAATTTTGATTAGCATAAATCGTTTGTTTGTTGTTTGTTCTTAATTGTTCGTAAATAATAATTATTTGTTCTCATTTTGTTTATGTATAATACAAAATAAATAAATAAAATTTATTAACTATTTATAGCCCCCTATTTTCAAATTATAATTTAAAAGCAAGAGATTACGATTGGATTAATGATTATATAAACTCCGGAGAGGGAAGTGACTTCATCCATTCATCGGAGAATCATAATGATCATAATTATAGTGCCAGTTTTACAGAAGAAAATGGCCAAAATTATATCAGTGTTATTAATTTAATGAATGAAAATTGTTTTCGTTCTATTGACAATGTAAATAATATTTTAAATCTATCACCTTCAACGAGTTATCATAATCAAAATGCTTATGTTACCACCGCACTGAAACCAATGACGATAATGAAAAATTAGATACATTTGTGCCTAAAAATTATCCTAATCAGATTAATACTACTTAACCCATTAATTTCAATAACTCACCAAAAGTGATAAAAAATAGAAGTAAAATCAATGTAAATACTTCGAAGTTATTAAATTTGAAAGAAGATAATGTCCCTCTATCAGTTTCTGTTAAAACTATGACGGAACGAAAAGCCATTAATAAAAAAATTGGTCGTTATTTTCAAAATTATCCAGAAATCGCCATACAAAATAATTTGGTGAATGAAAAAACTTGCAAAATTATAAAAAAACGCAAAAACTTTTTACTACGTAACGGTAATTTAAATGGTCCAGTGCAATTCAATGGTACAAAATGGACAGTATTGAATACAAATACAAATGTTGATAAATAGCTAAAGATTAATAGTAATTTAAAAAATTATAATTTGCAAATAGGGGGCTAAATAGTTAATAAATTTTATTTATTTATTTTGTATTATACATAAACAAAATGAGAACAAATAATTATTATTTACGAACAATTAAGAACAAACAACAAACAAACGATTTATGCTAATCAAAATTCGAAAACTTGCAAAAAAATTGTAGGGGGCTAAATAGAGGATCAATTTTATTTTTTACTTTTATAAATAAACGAAATGAGAACAAGCAATTATTATTTGCGAACAATTAAGAACAGACAACGAACAAACGATTTATGCTAATAGAAATTCAAAAATTTGCAATAAACAATTTTTGGGGGGTCAGCTTTAGTGACCCCCGGTTTAAGACACGACACAAATAATTGCAGTCCTTAGATAAAAGAAACAAGCAGTCATACTTTCCGGTGGTTACCAGCTTCTACGTTACAACAGACTAATAAATTATGAGGTAAAATCTTTATTCAGGTTAAATATTTGGTAACAAAAAATAATTGCATAAAAATTAGTAACTGGTTAAGTTTTTTTATATCCTATTTATAGACAATTCGATTTTGCTAGTACATTATTATTAATAAAATTATTATAATACTGTAGAGTTAAAACATTTCAGAAAAAAATTGTAAAAAATCGGAAAACTAAGGTCTATTAAATCAATAAATAAGGAGCGTTAAAACATTTTTCATACAAATGACTAAAATTAACAATTACACATTAAAAATGCTTAGAATTCGATAGACGATTAACATTATATATAAAATTTACCTAACTATTGTATTTTCATTTTGAATATTTCAATAATTATTCAAGAAAAAAATAATAAACATCTTAAGTACTACCAAATAGCAAAAAAGCACTTTCTGACTAGTAAACAAAATGTGACAGTTTATAAGTTCGTTTAATTGTTTTTCACGCAAAGAGTCCTCGCAGAAACACTTCAGATATCAACTCCATATTATATTATTCATATACAGGGTGTTTCAAACTCCACCCTATATTTTTGTGTGTTTTAGATATATTTATATTTCTAAGAACAGAATGGGGATTTGTAATTTAAAATCAGTTCGACAAGATTTTCAAAAAGATGTGAGATACCCAGTAATACTATTTTTTTAACACATTTATTAATATGAGTTGAGAATGAACCAAAAGTAAATTTATATTCAATTCTTTGATCTAAATGAACTAAATCGGGCGGTGGGTAGTCCTTGATTGCTCTTAGTAGTACTGGATGCAGTCGGTTTCATGAAACTCATAGCTTGAGGTCTGGGAGGACGATTCCCAACGCTGCTTCCGGTAGATGGCGTCCTTTTGAGGTTCGTTTTGGTGGAAGACGATATTGTTTTATTGCTGGGCGTTCTCAGGACCGGGCGGGATACATTATTGCTAGTATTTGGTTTAAGAGGTAACTTTTTGACGGTGCTAGTTGAGGTTGCACTGTTCAGAGAACTTCGAGAGCTAACTATTGAGTTTCTGAAAACAAAACAAAAAAGAATATAAATACGAATAGCTCAATAGAAGATAAGTTATTAGAAATATGGAGTTACAAAAAAATTAATTTTTATATGTATACCTGGAATTTGATTTTTGAATGCCGTAAGTTTTGGATGAGTTGCTCTTCAGATCAGCTTTATTCAGACTCTCGGATCTTCTGGGAATAATACTTTTCTTATTTAAAATACTATCTTGACTTGGCTTTCTTTGACTATTAACAAGGCTTCTGGTGGCTTTGGACGTGGGTAAGGATTGCAGTCTGGCACTTCGTACTGGCGTTCGACTAAAACAAAAACAACAAATATATTAGGACAAATAACTACTGTTATGTTGTTCTGGATGTTAGATAAGGCAGAAAGGTCTTGACATTTCTCCAATCTTATCATCCCAATTATTACTCTCTCAAGTATTTCGTTAGAATGTAAAAGGAGGTGTTGTCACAGAATCTGTACTCTCTATCATCTACCAGTCCAAGTTTACTAAGTTGTCCTTTGAGTTGGCAATGTGTAGCTCGTTCTTGCTTGAACATATATGGCTTTATAGTCACCTAAAATACTTACTTGCTATACAAAATAAATGTCTGCTCATATGTATCATATTTTAGGACACTTCTTATTCTAGAATTTGTTGATGTCATAGATATAGGTATCTATATTGGAACTAACATTATATTTTACTTAGACAGGGTTGGTTAGCGAACTAAAAAGGTATTTTATACATTTATAGATATATTGCTCACCTATATTTTGATAACGTCACATCGCTGCTAATGCTAGAATCCGGCGTTCCTTTGCTGCTCTCTACAGACAATTGTCTGATGGGTTTCGGCTTAGTAAAATCGGCCACGACTATTTGAGCGCTATCGATGATATCAGTATCATAATTGCCGCCACCAGAGGAAGCGCCTTGACTTGGAGATTCTGACATGAGGCTCTGGGTCTCTTCGAAGCCTTCGTCGTTGTCGTGCTCTTTGGTTTTGCGAGAAGGAATATCAATTTTATTGGAAGTCGCCTATAAAAAACAAATTACTCCATAAATGCGTAAATAACTATGAATAACATTTTCTCACACGAAAAAAACTTAATTAGTTAACCAAACTTGAAAATACCGAATGGCACACGTTTTAAATGATTACGTACCTTGGTCGTTTCCGGCGTAAGATAGGTTGCAGATATATTCGAAGTTTCTTTTTTCAATTGAAGAGCCATTTCAACGTCACTTGGTTTAATATTCGTTTGGTTTCGCCACCTTCGTCCATTTCTAGGTTCAGGATCGACTTGGGTTTTCAGTTTTTCTTGCCACACCTACAAATGCAAGACATAATTAAAAAGAAAAAACATATTTATTAATAATTTAATAGGGTTAGAACTAGATTAGGTTGAAAATGAGTGGGATAATCTCATCGCCTTCCACTGCGACTCAAATGGATTTATTGTGGCTCACCGTACAAACCACACCTTTCGATCAAGATTAGGTGAGACCTGTTTAAAGTCGGTAGGCTCTATTCGGGTGAATCCGAAGAACTGCAAGCTAATTGTATCCAAAGCAGAGCAGGTAAATAGAATGTGCTCTGCAGATTCATCTTTAATGGTGCAGAATTGACAGTCTGATGTATGTTGCAGACCTATCCTGTTCATATGGTTACCTACACGACAATGTCCTGTCATCAGACCAGTGTAAATGCGTAGGTCTTTCCTACTCCATTCTCGAATATGAGCAGAGGAGTTTATGAAAGAATTGGTTATAAACGCCTTCGAATAAGTTAGTCTTCCAGTTGGACCATTTTCAGATAATTCCTTTAGTAATAGTCTCTGCAATGCCCATGAATAGTTTTGATCCTAGGCACTCAGATTCGGTTACTATTTTAGAGAGTGTTTCGGCTTCTTCATTGCCCCATCAACATCACTGTGTCCCGGAACCCAGATCAAAGTAACTTTATTCAGGGCTCTCGAGACACCGAAAATATCTGTATAGTCTTTTTAGAGGGAAGAAAATTAATCAACTCTCTCGCTCCTATTTAATAAGGTACACACGTAAGAACATTTTCATGAAAACTGAATGTTTTTTCTGACATTTGCGACTCACCTTTAGCCTTGTTTCCTTATCTAGCTCTGGTTCAATAGCGATTGTCGGCTGAGAAATCTCTATTTGAGTCGGCGACTTAATAATTTGAGTTTCAGCACTAATAGTTTCCGTTGGTGATGAGGTAGTAATTTCAGGGTTCTCTTGGTTCCTCTTGTAACGCCTAGTACGCCTGGTTGCCGAGTATCTAAAGAAATAGTTAATAAAAAGAAAGATATAATTGTTAATTAGGTAAAAATAGGCTGCAGTACCTACACAAATTGGCGCCCAACGTGGTGATAATCAACATTAACAATTGAAGAATAAAAAATGTACCTGTCAAACTGTCCATCGCCTAACACAGGTCCATCCTCGGGTTCGTCGCTGGTTTGCGCTACCATCGAATTACTGCTTCTCCCGATCCTTCTACTGCACGGTCCCGGCATAAGCGGTTCCCTTCTATCTACGGGGGTGGGTACAAAAGTTCTTCTAGTCGCCGGAGGAGTTTCAATGTTATCCTGATCGATTTCAGCTTTATTGTTGCTTGTAGAACCATCCGGACTTTGCGGTTGAGACTCTGGAGGAGTACGTCGAGCGTAAGAGTGATTGGTCGAAGTCGTTGATGGTGTAGGTGTATCTAAACAATTATTTTGTTAAAATAATATTCGTAGGAGTTGTGACTAGGGTTGGGCGAATAACAAAAGAAATAATCGATTATTGATTATTTTCGATTAAAAGACTAAATTCGATTAGTCAATTATTGGATTAGTTTCCATTAATCGATTATTCAATTCATAGATTATATGCGATTAATCGGTTATTTTTGTTAGATCGATTGTTTTCGATTATTCGATTAATCAAGAAATCGAACATTTTCCATTTATCGTTATTTTCAAATAATCAATAGAAATTGATTATTCGAGAATAATCAGATTATCGATTATTAGATAATCGATATTATTTCATTAATTTTTAATGTTACATTCGGTTATTAATTTATCGTTTATTAGTAAATATCTAATTCAATCAAATACATATATTAAAAAGATAATCAAACGATCGTTTTATAATATCGAATTATATACGATTATCAAAATAAATGATCGATTATCGATTACTTTTTATGAATTGACTATTTTCGAATATTGTATTACTCGATCATTTTCAATTATTCAATCAATCGATCAGTTTCAAATGCCTCATTAATCGATTATTTCCGAATAATCTACAATCGATTTTTTTAAATTAATCGATTACTAATCGATTAATCGATTATTTTGCTCACTCCTAGTTGTGACTACTAACCATTTGGTTTCCTAATGTATAAAGTAAGCCTGTCGGTAGGCATGCGCTCTCCTAATGAACTAATTAAAACTTTGCGGTCCATTGCTTTATCCTCGTCAATGGAATGCAACGATTTATCTCGCATGCTTAGTCGACCTGTATATGGATTATCTTTTGTAGCCTCAGTACTGTTGGAAACATTCAAGGTTGATTTTCTCCAAGCCGACTTGTCTTTAACTTGCGGTTGAATTTCTAAAAATTAAATAAATAATTTAATAATTAAAATGAAGATGTTTACTATGTTTTTTTGTACCTTCTACTGCTTCCATAGCGCTAACTACATCAGTACTATCTATGGTGCTGGAAGGTTGCCAAGCCGGATGGACTTTCCTATAGTTCGACTGGCCACCACTGTAGACCTGTTTTCCTTCTGGAAGGGTATCTAAGGTACTACTTCGTTCGCTCTCTAAAATATTTTTTATAGATTAACTTCAAATAAAACCTGAATATTCAACTCCTTGGTGTTCAAAAATGTATGCCTTTACCTGAATCCATTTCCAACGACTTTCTGTTTGTCAATCTCTTCGCTCTTCTCTGGTCATCGCTTAACTGATCGTTCTCGTTAGCTTGTAACCACGACTCGATCTTCTGTCTCCATTCTTTAGGTTTCGTTTCCTCCTCTGGTGCGGACAGGATCGATTTTTGTTCCGTCAATGGGGATGGAGATGAAGGTCTTTCTCTTTCGGACGAAAAATCGGCTGACAGAAGAGCTGGACGCTTTCTTGGACCGCTTCCTCTGGCTTTTCTTGCCCACGAACGATCTTAAAAGAATATTGAGTCATGATCACACATTGAACAATCAGAGGAACACCTAAAATCATTTTAAAACATACCCAAACTGCCCCAAGACTTCCTCTCTCTGTTATTATCACCTCCTGACGCTCTTAGAAAGTCCATTAAGTTGCCTTCATCATCTTCGGATAATACCCTGCTTCTTCTTCTTCTCAGACTTCCATTTGGTGTAATATCTGGAGATCTTTCCTCCTTGCCGCTGGTAGTATTGTCTCCACCGTTTCCGTTGAAAGATCCCAATCTACGTCTGGAGAATGAAGGAGATCCGGACAGAGAAACTTCGTCTTCTGAACCATTTTTGCGCCCCTTTTTGGAATAGAATGATCCCCGAGTGTCGTAGATTTGCATGTCTATGCAGAATCCGTCAGAGTCTGGTGTACCAGCTAGATCTTCCACTAAAAGGAAAATAACATGTACCAGGTGATATGACAATGCAGCGTTAAATTATAAAAATGAAATATCACTTAGTTCAGTGAATAGCTAGGTTTTACCCTACAAAAGGTCCAGTAGTTCTGGGTTTTTAATGTTATAAAAATATGTTATCCTAGGAAAGAAACAAAGAATAATTCATTGCACTGCAACCTTGAGGCAGCAAAATCTATAGATTCAAAACATGAGGCAGTGATGATTATTGAAGAGGATATTAGGTTGTATTTATAAAAATATAGTCTTTCCTTCAAATGTAAAGGTAAAAGGAAGAGCTTACAAGGAGAAGGTAGAAGGAAAAGGTTTGCTTTACTTTTTATTCATAATCTTTCTCTTTTCTTTGTCAGCAAATCGTCGCATATAAAAAGAAAAGGTAGACTGGCGATAATAGGATGCGATGCTAATGCCCACATATCCTTTGGGGAAGCACGGATATCAATACAAGAGGTGAGTCTTTATAACAATATACATTTTATCTGAAGGTTTATTAATTGCTAATATAGCTAATATTGCTAATATATATTTGCTTGAGTAAAGCAAGTGATAACATTTCAAAGTGGCAAGTGTTAGACGAACAATCGTGCTCAGACCACAGATAGATTAGATTTGATCTAATTACCCCTCCTCGAATTTCAACCAAATATAAAAACCCCAGAGAGACGAATTGGGAAAAGTGTTCAACATTATTTGGAGAGGATATCGAAGAGGGTAAGGTGAAAATAACAAGTTAACAAAATCTTGATCAAGCAGTAGACCAAGTAAGTAAGGCTATTATAACCGCTTACGAGGAAAATTCTAGAGAAAACAAGACAACAGAAAACAGGCTGGTAGAACAAACACTTAGAATATCTTAGAGGTGTAGTGCAAAGGCTATTCAATATTGCCAAATCAACAGAAGACAGTGCCCTATATAGGGCTAAATTCACGCAGTACAACAGGGAGATAAGAAATGCTAGAAGACAATCGTGGAGGAAGTTCTGTGAGGAGTTATTTGAATCACCCACATACTTCAGAATCCAAAGAGCCCTAGCTAAAGAGGTTACTGCAAACAAGGTAGAATTTCTAAGGAAAGATGATGAAACCTCTACAAAAACCTTCGAGAAAACTTTAACAATTCTCACAGAACCACACTTTCTGGCTGAATAAATTTTGTTAGACCCGATAGTATCATGCAGCCTTTCAAAGAAGATCTAGTATGCGAACTCCTTTGGAATAGAGGCTAGCTACAGAAATATCAAGGCCGAACAAAATTAGATAGGCTACAAACAAATTTTAGCCGTTCGAATGCCCAGGAATACTCATATTCTACTACAAAAAGAGTAGAAAATTTTAATTCCACATAAGTGTCGCATATTTAACACTGGTATTGCTGGGCGACATATAGCAAAGGCGTGGCAAAAGGTGGATAAGATATCTAATATTAGGAAACCATATTTTTTCATTACTTCATTTTCGGTCGATGGGAACTTGATCCACTCATCCGCTTTGACCACAATGAGACCGAGAGTGGTACCGATGGTTCTGTAGGCTGTGTACATCCCAGTTCTTCACCGATACCGCTCTAGAAGTCCAGATCTGCAATGTACCACAAAACACTTTAATTTGTTGTACTGGAGAAAGCGCACCTTCCCTGGCTTCCAGATCCTCGTCAATGAAGTAGTCGGCTAATCACTGCACGTTTATTTCATCAAGTAAATAATTTTCCTTTCCTTTAAATAATAATTTGTTATAAAAGCTTCTCTAGATGTATGTTTTCTGAAGCAAATCCTTCAGTTTTAAAGCAAATGCTGCTGCCTATGAATTTTAAAAAAGTAAAACCAAATCTTTTCCTTCTTCTTTTTATGAATAGAATGTGAAGTAAATGCTTCGATTTCTGCAAGCAAAAGCAAATCCTCTTTGTTATAAATATGACCTATTGACCAGCTCATTGCTTTAAACAGAACTATACCTAAGAGTCTAGAACGTGTATCTTAGAAAACGGGGGGAAAAGGGTGACTATTTTCAAACTCGAGTAAACATTTTAATTCTCTCTAAATAAATCGTCATGGATCGTCATGGATGAGTAACCAGCGGGAGATTCCACCATGGGCCGTGTCACCTTAGGACTTAGTCGACTAGTATTTAACCATCGACGACGTGGAATAAATGAGGATGAGTGAGGAAATGAATTGGCGTATGGGAAAGTAGTAAGACCTTCAAATGTTGGTATAATAATCCGTAGGCTTCAGTGCCACCAGGCTATATAAAGATTAGGATCCGCAAAAAAGGTTACGGTTAACTTCTCTTTTTGACCTCTATTCAGTGGGACTACATTCACTTAATAATGTGACTTACTTTGTCTGCGCTTTGTAGCCAACAATTCTTCTCTCTGTCTCCTTCTCTCGTTAGCTTGTTCTTCTTGTATTTTCCTTCTTTCGTTTTCGGCCACGGCCTGTTTGAATTTACAATAGAACCCGTGGAATATCCTAAAACATTCTTCTAATTTAAAGGAGTTAACGTCTTCGCAGAAGAATTCGGCCAGTTTTCTTCGCACTTTTTCTAACTCGCCTAAATTTCGTTGAAGACTTGCCACTTCACGTTCCGCCATCTAAAAGTATGTTAAAGTTATATTTAATTTGTTAGTGAAGTTTAAAAAATATTTACCAGCAAGAATTCTGTCATTTGTGCTTTAATTTCGGGTTCTGTCGCTGGAGTTTCTATTTGTTTTCTAACTTTTTTAATTCTTACGTCTAATGCATTGATTTCGTTGTGTAATTGTTCAACAGTCGTTCTAGAAATTAAAAATATCATTTTAATAAACAATTATATTGCATATTTAGCTGTTACTTACTTTGCAGCATCTTCTAAAACGCTAATATTGTCGGTAAAAGAGAGTAATTTCTTTTCTTTTTTCTCAGCTTGCTGCAACAGAGAGAAAGTTAACATTTTTAATATTATCCAATGACGAACAACTACTAGATCAATTTTTTTTACAAAAAGTGAATTACAAGCATTTACATTGTTATCCAACATAGTTGCTAAATTATTACTGGAGAATTTATTATTGATTTTGGTTATAATTTGGAATTTACTTAACAAACGGCTCTAAACCACACAAAATGCTTTTAAATTTATATTAGGAAAGTAAATTTTCATTCTTATCAGTCTTTTCTGGTTGCTACTATTGCAGCTGAAAGTGATTTCCAGGAAAGTAGTCTAGGTATTTATGTTGCAGTATGACAACAGTGTAAAGCAAGCGTCGTAGTCGTAAGTGTTGGTTGAGTTGGTTCATTCATAAAACGCGTGCTCGCAAACACCATCCCTACTCAATTTATTGGGTGTCCCGTTCTTTCTAATACGGCAGCCGAATTGAAGTCAACAAATGCTTATTTATTAATGAAAGGGTTAGTGTAGTAGTTGTTTGTCGTTGATATCGCTATAGTAAAAACGGAATAGAGGTACAAATAATTCCATAGTATTGTTTAAATGAGATTTAATTTGAAGATATAGGTGTCCCGGAATAAGATATCAAAAATTTAGGAGTGGATAAAATTGGTCAAAATAACATTAGTACTGCATTTTTGAAACATATTTTTTTATATTTAAAAACATCTACTACATGCAGCTTGGCAAGATTGAATAATTAACAGAGACAGCAATCAAAGAAGGCGCACAATATGCTCTTAATATATATTTGATATATTTTATATAAAAAAAACTTACCAGTGCTACAAAATGTATGAGATTCATATTTGGTTTATTAGCTCGAATATCAGTTATTTTTTGCAAGGATGTCAATTTAACACCTGCAGCTCCACCTGCGTAGCCACCCTAAAAGTAGAAATGATCCGTTAAATGTAGTTTATACCTAATCATTAAAACCAAAACATTTAGATTGGTAACTTACAGCGTTCAAAAAATTCCCAGCTATAAGAATCATGTACAGTACTTCTTGTAACGGCTTGTTCGTCATCAGGTCTAAAAAAAATATGAATTAAATACATCCAACTACAAAAAACTAAATTACTATTTTTTTGGTACCTTGTGCTGCAATAATCATTGAGTTAATACTAGGTTGTAAATAGCCCATATTCGCTGCAAATTCTTCTTTAAGGAGCATACTCTCTATTCTTAATTTATAGCTAAAAATTAATAATAATTATTAACAGTTATGCCTACAGAGAAAATAAAATTTTTAGAAAAAAAAAATCTTAAAAAGTATAGTGTAACATGGTTTCCCTTCGAGCCGACCCTGTACAGTATTCGCTCCGTGCGCGACCGCAGCGCCAATTTGTTTTGGTATTAATGGACTATTTCTGTGTATACTGACAAATACAGTTTTTAATAGAATTCGTAATTAAAAAGTATATATGTTAGTTTTAATAAAAGTATATGGATTTGTAAAACAAGTAAAACATTAATTTATTATTATTATATATTTTTAACGCTTAAATTAAAGAAAATTATGTATAAACAATGAAAACCAATAATAAAATATAGACAGGCAACAGTATTTACTGGAAAATGTATGAGAAGTTGCCTAAGTCTAATAAGTTGTCATTGAAGAATTAGCCTGTTCTGTCAAAATAAAAAAATACCATTTAATAATAACATGAAGTTAAAATGTATAAAAAAAAGGATCGCTATTTATATTTTCATTTTTGTTCGAAAGAAAACATAGAATGAATGATTAAAACTGGTTTCTCATCAGTAAGTCACAAAATTGCATTCCAGCCACATACAATAATCAAAGGTAGAAATCTTGAAATCTAGTCCTTGCTGAATGAACATTTAAGAATAAAGGGATGTTGAAGAACATCGTAAAATAATAATTTATTTTTTATTTAAAACCTTTCAAGTTTCTGATGTCTACTATTTCCAGTATTACTGTTATTATTACAAAAATAAAGGTAATTTTTCTTCTTATTGTACACCTATCCATTTATTTCTTTGATTCAGTTTCCACTTTGCTAATAAATTTTTTTATAATTTTCACTGTTTTGTTTACAATTTTCAACACACCAATTCCGGTTGCTTATTGTATTGTTTTTACCTATTTTTAAAAAAAAAAGTATAATGTATACGTGTATTTGATATGCCAAAATTACAAAATATCGCTCTAAAATGCACGAATTATCCGCAGCTAACGCTGGTATCGCTTTGGCTTCCCCTACCATGACTTCGCATTGCGCGTATATATACAATAGTATTTAATAGGTATTACATTTCAAAAATATTGAATTTCTTAGTGAGCATTTTTAATATTGGTGAAACGGCTTGCCTTACTTACTTGGGAAGATTGGTTAGTTGAATCAAAAACTTTTCGGCGTTTCCTAATTTGTTGAAATCTCCGTTGAAAGATTTCAACATATCCAGTTCGTCAACTTCCGGTAAAAGTTTCAACAAACCCCTGAGTTTTTCTGATCCTATATCGTCGTGCACGCCGTTTTTTATCAATTGTACTATATCTTCGTTGGAACTGAAAACAATTCAAACATTAATGACAAATCAAAAACCTAAACAGCTATTCGCGGTACATTTCCTAAATATTTTATAGAAGTGTAATATACATATACAATTGTTTCTAAAGTAGACTATGACCGGCAAAGACAGATACGAGTCATGTTTGTTTTAAATACGCACGGCTCTGAATTAAATCAAACTGGCATTTAAAATAAAAGAAAAATTGTACTAAAATTTTTCCAATGCCTGATTTAGAAACATTTATTTTGGATCACTCTATATAAAAAAAAAAACAATTGTAATAGTAAGTTATTTCAGTAGATTATATAAGATTTGGTTAGGACTGTGGGCCATGTAGAACCCCCACCCCAACCTTTTCAGATCTATTGTGGATATATTTTAATCATTGATTAGAGTACTTTATCTAGTTTGGTCTTTTTGTAGGAAGTAGCTGTCTAGCGTAGCTAGTTTCCCTTTGTTTTTCTTCCCCCAGTGTAAGGAATCTTTGTCTTGATAGATCTTCCCAATAGCATGTACTGCAGTTCATCCTCTTCCTAAAAAAATCGGTACAAGATCTCTTCTGCCAGGCCTACTAGTACTTTAGTATTTTTGCTCTTCTGGCCTAGTAGATGCTCGGTGAGTTTTGGAGATGATCCTTTTAAAAACTCTCTGGCCTGTGAATTGTTCCATCATTCTTCAGATTTGTTTATTACTTACTGCTTTGTACAAGTTCTGACGGCACCACAGAATGGTTCTGGGCCAATAAGAGCCATTGAGGCTCTTCCTCGTGCTAGTAAGTCAACCTTTTCATTCTACCCAGCTCTGTTAGGACTTCTAAATAGTCCCTCACAAGTTTTGAGTGCATACCAGGTAATTTTTGCGTAAACAGGAGGTTCCCAGTCCTCGCTTCCTTGAATCTTTACTTTATATTGTTTTTAAAGGTTATATTTTAAGAATATTTGATTTAGAGGTATTTTTAGTCCTTCTCCAACTCTTTATATAGCTCGCAGTAGTCACGCCCGTCACGCCCATGCAAAGTGCTTATGGGTAATGGTGATAGACCTTCGTGCAGTCTGTTTGTGACGGACCTGGATTCGCCTTAAAGGAATATATGTAGAGGTGTTAGGCTTAGTATTAGTTCTAGGGCTGCTGTTGAAATCGTTCTAATGACTCCCGTGGCACTCAAGCTTGCTTGTCTTTCAATAGCGTTGAGCTGTTGAATGCTTCTTCAGCTTGTCGAGTCTTTGGCCACCACACCACCGACCCGCAGGTTATCATAGGACTTATGACTCTGGTATACAGCCATTGGGACATTCTTGGTTGTAATCTCCAATTTTTCCGTACAGTCTTTGACATAAGTTAAAGGTTGCTGTGTCAATACCTTTCGTTTTCTGAAGCTGACTACTATGGTTGTTTTTTATTAGTTCTTCCTCTCTACACCACTCATCAATGATGTTTGTGTGTGCTCCAATATTGTACAAGTCTTTGGCATACCCTAGGTAGTATATATCTGCAGATTTGAACCGTTTTATAAGTTCCTCCATACAGTCTGCTCAAAAGAGGAGTAATAGTACTCCTCCCTGAGGGCAGATGCTCCCTGATTTAGCCCTCAATGTTATTATCCTTTCTTTTAGGCTGGCTTTTATCCATTGACACACGACTACACTGGTACCCCTTTCCTTGCTGGTCCATTATTTATAGATCTTGTATGGGTATTATTGAAAGCTACTAGTAGTTTCTTGAGATCATCCAGAGCCAAATTTTATGCCTTCCTTCCAGTAAAAAAAAAATCCACATTTTTAAAAATGGCTTCTTCTTCGTTTTTGAATATTATATACGAGTAAATAAAAGTTTATATAGAAATACAGAAATTAAAAAAATATGATACTACTCACCTTCTAAATTGTTTTAAAAATATATTAACGTTTAAACTTCGTTTACCATCTAACAATGTAATCTGAAATAGAATAGATAAAAGTACTTAATTTGGTTATGGTTAACTTTGGCCATATAAAAACTATTTACCTCTATTGTATCTTTCCTCATCCTCCTTTCCAAATTATCGGAAGAGTCCCTATGTCCCAATTTTGGAGAAGAATGTGCAGACGGTGGAGCCTGTTGACAAAATAGACCTTCCATTTCTGACCAATCCATATCAGCCATTGGGGCGTGCTGATGGGAATACGCTACTTGAGTCCATATGTTATTTGTTCCTACTACCTAAAAAATAATGTCATTGAATGTACATGGATTGGTTGCGAAGTAGGGGGTCCAGCAAGCGAAACATATACAATTGAAGGGGTCAATGGAAAAATGATTCAACCAACAAGGCAGCCGTTTCAAAAATGGACGATAAAGTTTGAAATATTGAATACATATTTTTTTTAATTTGTCGTAATCAAATAGAACATGCAATAGGGAATAACTGTAAAAAAATTCAAACTATTGTTATAAATTTAACGAATTTTACAATTATATCAAAAACCGGGCTTATATTGAGCATTGTCCTGCTGGAAAAAAGGATTTATCTGCCATTATTATATTGACCCATATTATATTATTTTACAGCAAATTTTGTGGCAAAAAATTACTGACACCTAGGCAACCACTATTATAGTCCGTTGCAATTTATAGTAAAAAATCGTCTTGCTTTAAACATGAAGGAAGGTTGTGTATTAGCCGGAACAGGGACGGTGCTCCCAAATGGACTTTAAAAAATTAATGTTTTCTGCTTGGGGAACAAACATGATAATATTAATATTTCGTAAGAATGTTTGTAAGATTTTTAGTTTTTCTAAAGACCCTAACTTTAGCAACAAGTGGTTGCATCTTAGCAAAAGTAAACTTAATATAAAAAACCTTTCCCGCAAGATTCGTGCCAAAAATCCCAGAGACCAATTTTATAGCGAAAGTAACGCGCAAAGTAAAGATACATGAAATTAGTCATTTTATATTTATTTCTATTTCTGACCCGAATCTTAATAAACATCTTTTATATTAAACATTTTGTTGTAGCTGTTATAATAAATGCGCTACAGAGAAAATAAGCACTCCCCTCTCCCTAATGAGAGTCAGACTATGAGTGACGTCATGCGCATGACAGACGAAAACTAAACACGGGAGCATCCGGCCCTGGGTAGTATTGGTGTGGAATTTACCTAATCACTTTAGTTTAGCTTCAAAGTTTATGCGATTTGGTCGAGGTTTTGGTACTATATAGTTAAAATAAGTAGTGAAAATGAGTGAGGTAGTTAATGTTCAACAGTGTTCTTCCGAAATAAATTTGGACAAACAGGAAACAGGAAAACAGAAGCGTTGTCACCTTTCTAGTGAAGCCAAGGAAATAGTTCTAAACGTTTATTCTGGTGAGTAATTATATTAATTATTCCCATAATATGAATCCTTATTTAAAGAGCAATATAAAACACACCGGATGTTATTGAAATACATGGTACATATTAAACGAGATTAATATTTAAACTCTACTGGAATGTGCAAAAATATTATTTTGAAAATTTACTTAATATAACTGAGAAAGTGATTAAACTTTGAAAATGTATGTTTACCCTTTCAGGAAGCAAATTGTTCTGCTGAGATATATATATTGTGTTAGAGTGTAAATAAAAATTATCTCCGTGTTATTTCATAAAAAAATTAATGTCTTCCTAATTGACTTCTGACAGTTGACCAATGGAGTACTAAGATATTTTAAAATAATGTTGATAAATCGTCAGAAGTGAACTGGATGGAATAAACTTGGAATAAATTTGGATGATACTGATGATGATAGTGATATTATTTCAGAACATGAAATTGGTGACTGTGAAAGTGATTTTGAAATACAGACGTTTTTAAATTCATTTACCTACATTTTCACAAAATAAATCTAGTGAAACTTCTTTTTAAATTAATACTTAATAATTTTAGTCAGTTTCAATTTTCAATAAATTTTCTAGTTGAACATGTTGTGTTTGGAAATAAAACCTGTTTTATTTTTTTTTATTTTAATACAAGTTTAATACATAATGAATTTTTCGAAACAAGTTTTTAAATGTTTAACTTTATGCAACTGGTTGAGTAAAGTAGATCATTTTGACACTTTCTGCGATTACAAAAAATGACACTTTAAATGTTAAAATTAGAAAAAAAGAATTTATATGAACTACTGTGTAAGAAATTGTGTAGTTGTAATAAGGATATAACGTAGATAATTCGGATCTGAATCCAGTGATACCCATTTAAAATACGTAAATATGTCGCTTGAATCTTGTTTCCATTATCCCGTCCATTTTACAATTTAGCAATAGGTATAGGTAATCAAAATTTGCTTACTTTGTTGTTGGGTATCTTATTCCAGTTAATGGTTTTCATTTTCGTTTTTGGTGCAGGTATTTCTTGTTGGGGTAATTTGTCTATCACAGTATCGGTTTCGGTTTGAGAGGCAGCGCGCGTTTTGGTTTTCAGCTGCGGGGGTGGAGGTACGGGTACGGGAGGAGGCGCGCACGGAGGCGCGGGTATGAAGGGCGGAGGGGGAGGGGGCGGAGGTAGAGATGGTCCTAAAAATTATGTTATTAATAATAATAGCAATAAACTTATTCGCAGTAAAATAGTAAAACATAAATATAAACTTTATATACATGTGTCTCATTAATGTGTAATTCTTCAATATTTCAATTTAGGTTAGAGACAAACAAACAAACAAGTAAAAGTTATACGGATATGAAAAAGGCATACTTTTTGGATATACAGGCAGTGGCGTAGCCAGTCATTTTTCATGGGAGGGGTTTTTGAGAACTATGGAGGGGGTTCCATCAAAAAAGTGAATAGAAACAAGTAATCAATGGCGGTCACCACTAATACTATAGCAGAAATGGTGACGCGAGGACCCTCCATGGGGGGTCCTGACCCCCAAACCCCCCGTGGCTACGCCACTGTATACACGGTGTTTTTGCCTGACAAATAAAAATGTACATTTTTTTAAAGAAACACGGTTTTATAATAGTCAGATAATACTGTATTTAAACCCTAGAATATTTTTGAAAAAAAATTTTTTGATTTATGGCAAATTTTGAATTTTGATTCCAAACTTTCAACGCTCTGTATCTTGGTAACTAAGCCCTTTAAGGGTTCATGTTCCTATGTAAAAATTCATCAATTAACGAGAGCTCTCTGTGGTAAAGCGTTGTCGGTTAAATATACTAACACCCTGTATAAAACAATAAAATTATAAGATAAATAAATCTAGTACGTGAGGTGCGAAGGCTATTTGATAAGTACGAACAAAATTAGGGAACAAATTAAAAATATATGCCGATTTGTAGGAATTTAATTAACAATTACCTAATGGCGGAGGATGAGGGGGGCCAGGTGCCTGCGGCGGAGGACTCAGTGGCGCCGTCAGACTCTGTCTTCTGCTGGGACTCTCCACGCGGTGTTGGCAGTGACAGAATAACTTGGATTGCGTGCTGGGCGCTCGAAGGAGTCTCGCGGAGTCTTCGCGATTCTCCAAGAGGGTCGCACGATGCACCAGGCGCTCCGCCGTATCCCAGATGATATCCGAGATAGGTTCCTTAGGATCGATGCGAAGAAGGTGTTGCAGTATGCTAAGGAAGGGGATTTCTTGAGGTGTTTCGGCTACCTAAAAAAAAAAAATAGTTACAAGGGAAATAAGAAAATGTTAGGAATTATTACCTGTTTGAGTATTGCATAGAAAACGTCCAAAGGGGAATTGAGATCAACCCCATGGGGGCCTTGGAGACTTTGAGCGTCGTCGCTTTCTCGTTGTTCGTCGAAAACGTCCAATTGGACAGCCAGTTCTGGCTCGGCTTCTGCACATTTCCTACAAACAAAGTTTATCTCAATAATTAGTAGAAATCACGAAATATCGAAATCCCTTAAAAAATCAAATAAAATATTAACTCTAAGAAAGCACCTAGGTATGATATGATCACAAATTATATTTTATATTAAAATAATTGCCAATAAAAGCTGTTCTTAAACTAACTAATATAATATACCGCTGCATTTCGACTAGATCAAGTTATAACCAGAGATCAGGGACATAAAGATAGGAAACGCAACAACCGCATCAGCGATGGCATCATTAATGCGTTCCAGCTGTTAACTAAAGGTACACGTCATTGGTAGACAGACAGTAGACGTGGACAGCTGTGGGCAGTTTGTAAAAATAAATGTCAATTTAGTTGTAGAATCCTAAATTTCTTTAAATTTTGAGTTCTTGAATGGTTTATATTGTAAGGTGAACTAAGATAAATGATTGTGGTTCTTTTGTGTTAAATTTTAGGACAATAATTATATTTTGTAATATTACAATAATGAGTCAGAGCACGTATTACATTCATAACACATGCCATATAAATTTAACAACCCCAATGTGGCGTTCTTTAATTTACTAAATTAAGATCTAGTAACACACACAGTACCCAACTTTTGTCACAAAGTATTTATTTATTATTTTTTTATTGTTTTAGAGCAAGAAAATAGCTTCAAAACGTTGGAGAGTAGATTTAATGTAGGAAGAAAAAATCTGAATTTCCAATAAGGAATTTGCAGTCCAATAAGACATTATTGGCCACTCGTTTGGAAAATTAGAACGAAAATGTTAAAGTTACAAATAATCAAAAATTTAAAGTCTCTTTTTAATAAATAATTTACTGTAATTAACAATATTTAAATTTATTTACCAGGTCATAAAAGTGCATATATATAACCTTTATTATCAGGTTTTTAAATTTCCCGCTGCGTTATTTGTTTTTGATATCGATGAAAGCGCCACATAGTGGGTTAGATGTAACTGCGTTTCCTATCTTTATGTCCCTTATCTCTGATTATAACGATACCAAAACCAGGAAAACAAAGTAAAGTTCTAAAGACCTATATCACTGTTACCTGTGCTGTCTAAACTTTTTGAAAAGTTTTTACTAAAATTAATGAAAACTATCGTAGACAGTAAAAATATAATACCAGATCACCAATTTAATACCAGGATACTTTTGTCAGAAATAATAATGGACAATGCATGCCAATACAGATACAGATAAAACTTAAGGATTTTCTTTATCTAATCTAAATTACTATTACTAGAAAAACAATATTTCCCAATACACCAAAAATGAGGGGTTTAGTATCAAAACGTACAATCTCCTCTAATTCAATTTTTGAGCAAATTTTGAATTTTAATGTGGGCGCAACCGTGATTTTTAATTAATTAGTAACTTTAGAAGAGCCTATATTACGTCCTAACAGTAAGAAAAAATACAGATTACTTTTATATTAAAAAAAATATTTTTGAGATTGTACATTTTGAAACTGAGCAGCGGAGATTGTACGTTTGGAAAATGAATTCCGAAAAAAAAAAAATAATAGGCTTATTATAGAAACAATAAAACTTTGTTTGAGCTTAAAAGTTGGCAAATTTATTTAAAATTTAAATATGTGAAGCCTAAATTGTCACGTTGGGTCCTTCATCAAAATATTCTCAAAGAATATCTTCGTCTGCTTCATTTTTCGAAGTATGGTTTTCTGCTTCATCTAGAACGAACTTATAAAATTCTAAGTCATTAATTATAATCTCTCCACTTTCGACCATAATGGCCTTTAAGTAAAGCAGTGAAGGAAACAACTTTTTGTTCTTTCATCAAATTCTGTTTTTTAATAATATTTGGAACAATATCTTGCCTCTATTGGCAAATAGATTTAATAGCTCCTAAGTCGCTCTTATAAGGTCTGTTCCAACAACGATCAGAAACCAGTCACTGACACCAGGATTCTGCGCTGTATATAATTTGACGGTCGAAATAATCGACTGCGCAGAATCATGGTGTCAGTAACTGGTTTCTGATTGTTGTTGGAACACACCTATAGGCTGCTTCACCACGTACCTGGATTCTTTGTCCAACTTATTTTGTGATTATTATTCTTTTGGACTGTGCCAAAGAAAAATGCCAGCTACCGGTTGGTTTGATTTGCTATAGCTTTCTTCCAATTGAATACCTGGACATCTTCACCAACCTTCAGAATATTAGAATACCAAGAAATTATTAATGTCGAACTGGAAAGATAATCTCTATGTGTGAAACGTTAGCAGCACTTCTGTTTTTGTGATTTATTAGCCAATTTCAACTCATACCGACTTGTGTCATATTAATCGTAAAACTTGAATGTTTGAACCTTTAGAGTATTCGTTTTCTGTCTAGCAAAAACTTTTGGTTGTTGTTGGATTCAGATCACCGTTAGTGCCCTTATACTACTGTAAAATTGTACAAATAAATTTTATGGGAGTAACATGCCTCTTGGTCAGGAAGTTTAGGTAAGAGTTGATTTTTTTGACAATCGAATGAAAATGTAAGTATGGATATTATCCTATAATCTCAAATTTGTAGAACATAATATCTTGTGATATAATAATATCGTATTAAAGCTATTTCGCGGATCTAAGCTAATGAACATTCTGTGTGTGTGCGTGTGTGTACGTATTTCTGTTTGGCACTGGTTAATGAACATTCTCAACGATCACTTAATTACGAGGTCTTTTTTCGCTGAGCTGTCTAGTAGACGATATTTTGGCAACAAATTTTGTCTGACATTTCAATTTAGTTGTTTACAAAGGAGGGTATCGTTTTTTGGGTTTTTTTGCGACCCCGTACGAAATTTTTCTCCCTAAAAGATATTAAAAAAAAAATGTATTTCCCTAAATTTTTTTCTTTAAAACGTCCCGGAACATACTTTTTTTTAATTTTGAAATATCTTTTTTGACATAATTACAAGCACTGACAAGGAGGATTCGGCAACATGGCGGCCGGCTGTCATGTGGGCTGATATTTGACTGGTGGCACATGTTTATCAAGTGATAATGTATTAGTTAATATGTGTTTCACAATTTGTACATGTAAGCCACAGAGAAATATAAACTTAACCAAAACATAAAACGTCCTAAATCTAGTGTTTATTTTAACGTGAAATAAAAGCTTCAGTAGGTCCTGCCAGTATTGAGATACAGGATACAGTTAATAAAAAACGTATTAGGTATCAGCATTTTAGTTCCACACTGTCGAGGTGAGTAATGAATAATGCTTATTTTTGATTTGTCATTTATTAGCAAGCTTGCAAGTTATTATAATTTATATAGTGAAATCTGAAATCATTAACCTAATAACTACTAGTGGCTAATGTTGTAGTTGAAGGGTCTAGAAAACTCGCGTATTGGGGACAACACTAATCATTTGTAGAGCGCATGTCGTATGTGTTTTATTTGTACATGGTCTCTTTTTGACAGAGTAGGTGAGCTGTGTCTAGGCCGTTGGTGTTTATGCCTGTTGGCGTAGCCAAGTACGAATTAAAATTTTCCGCCACCGTACGAGAAGTCGTTGCTTCGTCTTCTTGTTGTCACGGCATTATTATTAATTGTTCATGTATGTGAAATTTGCTTCTAAGGGTTATAAAATACTACTGCTAATCACGGCATAAATGAAAACAAATAAAAATCATTCACACAAACACCTCACACCACAGCAATTACAAATGTGTTACCTAAGTTTTACACAAATTAAGGACAGCCAGAAAACATATTAAAACATAAAAGTCTTAGATCTGTCACAGTATAAGGCTTATAGTAGCTATATACGAGGTCTGATAAAAAAATAACCATTATTTTCAGTTTTTTTCAAAAAGTATTTATTTATTCATCAATAACTATCTTGTCCCCTTCAAAGTAATCCCCCTCAGATATAATACACTTATGCCAGCGTTTTTTCCAATCCTCGAAACACTTCTGAAACGCGCTTTTTGGTATCGCCAACAGCTCTTGTTTCGATTTTTCATTTATCTCCTCAATCGTAGCAAAACGCTTTCCTTTCATCGGTGTCTTCAGTTTTGGGAAGAGGAAAAAGTCAGTGGGGGCCAAGTCCGGTGAATACGGTGGTTGAGGCATGATAACGGTTTTGTTTTTGGCCAAAAACTCACGCACAAGCATCGATGTGTGAGCTGGTGCGTTATCATGGTGCAAAATCCATGATTGTTTTTTCCACAATTCTGTGCGTTTCTGACGAATTGCTTCGCGCAAACGGCGCATAACTTCAAGGTAGTATTCTTTATTGACCGTACGACCTTGTGGCAAGAATTCATGATGCACCACGCCATTGCAGTCGAAGAAAACAGTGAGCAAAACCTTCACATTTGACCGAACTTGACGTGATTTTTTCGGTCTTGGCTCTTCTGGACGCTTCCATTGGGATGATTGGGCTTTGGTTTCAATGTCATAGACATACACCCATGATTCGTCACCAGTTCTGACCTTTTTGAGGAAATCTGGATCGTCGTTGACGATGTTCCACAGCTACTGAGCGATGTCCATGCGACGTTGTTTTTGCTCAAAATTTAGCAATTTTGGAACAATCTTCGCTGCCGCACGTTTCATGCCTAAAACATCCGTAAAAATTGCTTGGCATGAGCCAAACGATATGCCAACATCATCAGCAACCTCTCTGATAGTGATTCGACGATTATCCAAAATCATTTTCTCCACTGCTTCAATGTTTTCATCGGTTGTTGACGTGCTCGGGCGACCAGAGGGGCGTTTGATTTGAAACTCGATCGAGCGAGCGCCGAGGAGACCGAGAAGTGATGACGTCACAATAGAGCATTGAATCAAATCAAATAAAACAGAGTAAAAAACATAACCTGGTTTGTATGTTAAAATAGTGAGCAAAAAGTAAAGAAAATGGAAAAACTTTTAATAATAAGGGGTAATGGCCCTGATGTGCAGCATTTACCACAAATGCCCGCTTCGCTCTCATACTCCATGACTGTGATTACTGGTGATTAGATATGGACAGAAAAAATGTATTTTCTAAACACACATTTTGTATTTTTTTATGATGAATAATTTTAGCTATAAGACAAAAGCGGCTAAGTAATTTGTTGACTTCTTGTCTGGTCTTTAATTTTGAGATTTAAATTTGTTTGTAAGTTAATTAAAAAGAGATAGGTAGAGACAAAGACAAATTTCTCCCTCTTCTCGATCTTTCTGCTCTGAGAACATCGAGCTCGCTCTATGTTCTCGCTCCAAAGCGAAACAAACACTTTAGGGATCTCTCGGAGTGTCAATTCAAACACTTTTGATGCGCTCGGAGATCTCCGATGATCAAATCAAACGCACCACAAGACGAGCATCGTCATTGACATCTTCTCGGCCTTCCTTAAACCGGTTATACCACAATTGAACTTGTGTTCTGCTCATAGTAGACTCGCAAAACGCCACAGTCAACATTTCAAATGTCCTTGCGCATTTAATTTCATTTTTTACACAAAACTTAATACAGTTTCTTTGATCCATTTTTTCGAATAGTAAAAAATCGAAGAGCACACCAAAACACGACTAACCTTTTTATCTGTCAAAAACAAACTGACAATCCAAAATGGCTGATATTGCTAACATATATAACAGATATGTGTACCAACATAACAGAAAAAAAATGCGAAAATCGAACATACGTAACTCACGAAATTTGAAAATAACGGTTATTTCTTGATCAGACCTCGTATACTGGTGGTTCTGCGTTAAGACATACGTTGTTGCCATATTTAAAACTTGGTTTAACAACTTAGATTTTCATAATAAATGTCAAACTTTTCCAGTTCTTAGATTTTTCAGTTAAAAATTGTTAAATATTCGGGCCTTTTCAGACTGATGTAATAGTTTTAAAAATATTAGTGATTTATTTTACGTATTTTTTTCATTTCAAAGAGATTTCTTGCTTTAAATATGTTTTATTCATTAATAATTTTAGCCTAAATATAACGTAATTTAGAATTTTACGCAATGGAAATTCATTTTAAGCTTATACTTTTAATATAAAAACAAATTTTCGTTTTCCTCCCTTAGATTTTCAAGTTTTTTGAAATATAAAAAAAAAAATCATGAGAAACCCAAAACATCCATTTAAAACGATACTCTCCTTTGACCATGTATTGGGATAGATACGAATTGTTTACAAAAACAATGGTTAAATGATAATAACGTCTACAATTGCATGCAGAACAAACGGTACAAACGTTACAGATTGCCACAGTGTCTCTGGGGGTTATGATGGATACGAAATATGATTTTTAACAGACACTTTATTTGTGAACAGGTTGTTATTTCTGTGTGTTTATAAAATAACATATATGTTAAAAACAACACAGGTTATCAATCATAACCCTCTCTTTCGGTTAAACTCAGTTTATTCTAGAATCTGGATCATATTCATAAAATTTCTTATCTATTTTTTTTTCTACTTTGAATCGGTGTTTAAATTAAGTGTTTTTAGATTAGAGCACTCTTCTCAGTACCAAGAAGTTAGTTTAGCGTGTTTTTTGGTTTTAATAGGACGCTAATTTGCTGAAATTAATAATAAATACTGACTACACTTTTTTGTCGAAGTTTACTTTGTTAGCGAACAGACTACAGTGAAAAATAAATTTAAAAACATACGCTAGAAAACTCAAATGGCTTTCTGAACTAATTTTACATTACTACAACAATAATTGGCAACAAACACAAACACTGTGTTACTCAACTTTTGTAATCTTGACACTTACCTAAGATAAATTTGCACAAGTGAAACGTTTTCTTCTATATAGGTAGATAATATTGACCAAACAAATATAAAATGTGTGCATACCTAGGCGATAGTCTAGTAATTTAAAATATTTCCTGGTACGTACCTGAGATTGTTCAGCACCGGAAGTAGATGACATCCTGTAAAAAGAACGGTCGTGAATGTTTAATAAGCGGATAGTATAGGTGAATACATATTTTCTAGGGACGTCTTTTGGAAAATATAAACATGCTAATGAGTTTTGTTTAAACAGAGTGGCAGGGGAGGATCATCTAAATTTTATATGGATTATAAGAATAATGCCCATATTGCCCATTCAACCTGATGTAGTTTCTGTACGGTATAGGTTGTTGTATTAGGACGAAATGTTGAGGTTTTCGGACGACCACGAGGAGGAGTCAGAAATAGTAGTTTACTATGTCATGAGGACGAAAATATACACTTTTCTCCCGTGCTTTATATATTATTTTTTATTCAAATGTCCTTACCTATAGATATTAAAAAAATATGGAAATTTAAATCCAAAATGATATTTTTTCCAATTTTTCTTATGACTGAGATTGCTGTGGCCCATTACAATGTCAAATTTGAGGATAATTAAGCTTTTTTCAACTCCACTTTTTGTTGTAGTTACCCAAAAAGAGCGCACTGTTTCTCAATATTCTCCCCCTTTCAACGGTCCTGCATAGCAGGAATCAAGTGCCAACGGAACAGTGGGTGCCTGACTTTGACTGAATTTAATGAACTTTTCCTTTTTATTGATCACTCTCGTTTGTATGTCAAGTTAAAATCGTGTTCAAGAACAAAAATGCATCGCGTTTTACGTAATCAAATTTATTCGAATACCTGCCAAGTAATCCTGCGGGTATTTTATAAGAAGACGTTCTTCGATTTTCGTCTTTATTTCGGATTACTGTACAAATTTTTCAAGGGTAACGTAAATAATAATTGCGAGAAAGATGATGTTGCTGACCTATAACCGATGAAGTTGAGTGAACTCGTTATAGAGATACATTTTCAAGTTCTTTTAGCTTATAAATAATTTATAAAATGAGAAAGAATGTTAATGACATCAGATTCTTCTACTATAACGACAAATATTGTTTTTATTCGAATGTGTATCGTTTTTCGGATAGAACTTCCCAAGTAACACAAAAAGTTATATAAGGGTTATACCAACATTGCAACAACGTTTCTTGAAACTCAATAACTTACATATCTCACCCTTTAATCCATCCTGTGGATTATTTTAAGGAATATTTCGGTTATTTATAATAAGAGAAGCAAATTATTTAAATAATAATTGTCTTGATGTTATTTTCTATATTTTTTTGTCACATACATGAATTTTCTAAAATAGACGGTAATGAAAAATTTTTAGTAAAAATACAAAATTTGGACTCTTGTAGTCATCCAAAAAACTCAACGTTCCGTCCTTAAAAAATAAACAACTGTATTTATTTAATATTATTTAAAAGCCTTTTGTTGTCTTACCTATAAATTCGTTTCTTAGCCTAGTTCGGTCGTTGAGCCTGGGGGTGGAAATGATCAGACAGTTAATGAAGGCCACCAGGGCAGTTTGATAGTCCACGGGGGTGGCTCGATCGAGTTCATGGACTATCACACTCAGTCTATATCTCTCGCCTTTTAATTTCTGAAAAGAAAAACAATATTAAATAGCAATTATCCAAACCTAGCTGGTAAAATTTATTAGTAAGTTAATCAAATAATGAATTAACATCGTTCGTTAGCTCAAGGGGGGCACCCATAATATTAAGCAACCCATTCTACTAAGTTTGAACCATAAAGTATATGTGAGAATCAACACAGTAAGTTAACCAACTGGCAAATTAGCGCTGTTCGTTAACTCCGTTGGTCATCACCTCTATACTCGTCGAAATAATTACCTAAGAGAGTACAATTCTGTGTATATCTAGGATAGTATAGAATATAAACATCAACACAGTAAGTTAACCAACTGGCGAATTGGCGCTATTCGTTAACTCAGTTGGTCATCAAGCTAAATAAAATATATCTTGATACCAATTGTAATATACTAATTATTGCATTACATTTAAAGTATAAAAAATAAAAGGAGTTTAAATATAATTTTGTATAGTTTTATTTACCAATTTGCACCAAACCTTGCATCGAATCCTGGTTTTATTGATTAGTGGCGTAGTCGACTACAGGAAATTGTGAATAACAATGGTGGTCATATTCATAGACAATTTTTGTAATTCTTGAATTCATTGTTTTTAAGTAGATTATAATAATTATTAAAAGAATTAAATTGGACTAAATAATTATTAATTTGAAATTAATGTGTATCATTTAACAAAAGTAATCACAATTTTAAAATATTTTGGGGTCTATTCTGTAACAATTCCTTTATATTTAACGGCCTTTAAAAATATTGGCGGTCTTTAAAAATATGTTCGTATTCGTTAATTTACTTCTGTCATTATTTAAACAGAATTCTTTAAGATAGTCCTCTAATGTATTTTAAAGATCCGTTTAAATAATGACAGTAGTGTGGTAAATCTACTTTATAAATATGTTTTGTTTTATTTACTTTTCTATTCTCTTTAACTCATTTTCTCTATCTCCTTCTAATTGTATGAAACCTTTAATCATATCTACGCTGAACGTAGAGAATTCAAAGTACTGTTTTTTTTTCTAGAAGAAACCGCTTTTTTGTCACTATTTTATTTCGCCGATTGTGGGCATTTTTACGAATAAAATCAGTTTAGTTTAAGTCTCGTTTTATTAAACATCAATTACTTCAAGTAGTAAAGAAGAAAATATTTTTAAAGGCCATTAAAAATAAAGGAATTGCTACAGAATAGACCCCATTATCGGTAAAGTTTAATCGATCATACCCTTTTTATTTTCTTGCCATGCCATTTCGTGCATTGACCAGAATTGTTAAACTACAACCTATTTACTTTTATATTTCATTCTTTCTACAATATACACAGAGTTGACAGTTCAGTTGGCAAAAAATGTAAATTCTCTGGATTTATTGGTACATGTCACGAGACACATGCGACATAAAAAATTTAAATTATTTTTTTCTGCTTCCAGTGGTATATTACGGAAAAATTCAGATCAAATAGTTTTATTGTTTCCTAAAGACTATTATAGATAATTTTGAAATAACCTGTATATCAAACACTGTCGTTTTTTCCCTCAATAAAATCGCAATGCTCTACTAGTAATGAACCTATAAATAGAATAATTGAATAGTTGATTTGAATGAATTTTTTCCTTTTTTAAAATAAAAATAGCCTTCATATATTCCTCGGCCGTGTTTACAGTGAATTGGAATAATTGATTTTCGCCTTTTTCGACAAACATCTTAACCTAGATACCGCTTTATTTGTTTGTACAATATTACTACCATCACCATGGTCCGTTCATACACGACGTCCACCATGGGCGTAGAAGACATATAAACTTTTTACTTAGTTATTTCAAAGTGTTATCAATACATTTTTAAAATACATGATTCTGATGCTAGCACCCCTATTAATTTTTTAAATTAACAGCAGCTTTTAATCACAACTGTATGAGGTTTTCTCGCTTACTTTTAACGCCTTAAACTCAGAATTACTCGGGCGCCAATTTCATTAATATTATTTGCTCCAAAACCTTTCTATACTGTGTCAAAATGACACAAGTAGTATCAAATGGAGGTACGAAATAATCCAGAGGTCACAATGTTATTGTCTAAAATTTCAGATCGATAATAAGAGGCTTTGTCACTATCGCAGCAAAGAAATTATGGGTACTGTAAAGGTGTAAAAAGGGATTTTATAGACGGTTAAATAACCTCAATTACATGCCAACAGGTAAAGTTAATAAATATAGTATATACGAAAACTATTTACAGTATTGATGGAATGAATATTTCAAAGCCCACCCTTGTGTAATCCTAAGGGAAAAAATATTTGATAGGTAAATAATGCTGGGAAAAGATCTCAATTAGGAGGTAATAAATAAATGTATCAAGTAAATAGGAGAAAAATAAATAAATATTAAGATTGAATATAAAAGGTACAACAACTAAATTATTATGTTAGTTAAGGGCAGGTCTTAATTCTCATAAAAAAAATTGAATCCTAGTATTTACCCACGGAAAAAACCACAGGGATTGCTAACGATCATCAATGACTTCTGCAACTCAGGCTTACCTAGGACCTAAGTGTTGTTTACTTGTTTTTTTTTTAGATTTCTGTATCTGAAAGTTATCATCAAGACCTCTGCTGTTAGTTAGTTCTCCTGAAGTAATTTTCCTTGGATACAAATCTTAACATTGCTGAATACTAACTTTACCGCGGATAGTACCTAAGAGGTTCGATAATAACTAGCGATTTCTGCAGCCCTAGGTACTATTAAAAAAAAAAACCTAAAGAAAAACAGGGTAAACCCTAAATTAAAGAAAAGTATATTGACACTATCTGCCAGAACCCAAATGTCATTTAATAAACTCAAAACAAGTAAGTATTAAAAGTAATTTTAAAAAATCGACTTCAAAATCGTGCAGATGCCATCACCACATCTTGACCAAATTTATATGGGACCACCCCTGAGGTACCCCTTACTAATAAACAAAGAATCATAGAAATCGGACAAGATGGTAAAGAATTATCGCTAGACATACATAAAAAAATGAAGAGTTTGAGGATTTTCTCATGGACGTAATTATTAGATTTTGACGAAATTTATATGGGGCCACCCCTGAGGTACCACCTTACCAACAAAAAAAAACACAGAAATTAGACAAGATGGTAAAGAATTATCGCTAGAAATATAAAAAAAATTAAGAGTTTGAGGATTTTCTCATGGACCGAATTATTAGATTCTGACCAAATTTGTATGAGACCACCCCTGAAGTACCCCCTTTCTAACACAAAAAGAATCATTGAAATCGGACACCATGTCAAAGAATTATCGCTGAACATTCATAAAAAAAATAGGCCACTTCCTTAGTTTTCTCTAAAGTTAGAACTGATTTTGATCCCTTAACGACCACTACCTGTGTCATTCCCTTAAAACGGCTCTGTTATTATAAAAGATAGAAGAAAACACGAAATCTACGTTCATCAAAAAATAATTTAAAAAGTTAGTGCGCCCATGGTTTCGTGTACAATGTTGATACTTGAATTATCATAAAATGGAAAGTGATCATTCAGTACCTGAATACTAGCACTAAATAAGAATGTGCGATTACATTTGATATGTTTTGATTATATAACCGGACTACTGAAATAAATATAACTAAAATATACAGGGTTTGTTCATGATGGACGAAATGGTTAAAAAAATGCACATATTCGTTAAATCGTGATATTCCAGACGTCAAAACAAAGTTATTAGGAATAAAATAATATTTCCTATATTTCTATAATATTAACACTCCACTAAACCCCCAGTATAGTAGTCAGCGATAACCAATTAATTACCTTGCCAAATAATGACGTAACTGTGTTCTTCTAATTGAAGTCTGAACCTTTTTACTCTAACCATGGTTACTAAATTGAGTTTAGTTCAATGCCAACAGCTGGCTGCTTAGTTGGGTCTATTATTGACAATGTTTCTAAAACATTTCGATAAACGGACGGCATTTCAAACAGTTATTGTACTGTTAACTTTTTGTTTTACGATTTCATGTTTGAGTGATAAGCATGAAACAATTTGAAATAAATTTAATGGTCCCCGTAGCCCCATAGCCGCCCTTGGGGAGTACCAACAAATTAACGGAAATAAATTTAAAGTTACCTTAAAATGATCTAGAGTGTCAAGCGCCCTGGATCGGCCTTCTTCGTTGTGGACGCATAGCGCCGACAAAAGTTCGAACACCTGCTTTTTCACCGTCGCGTTTTGGGTGTCCAGGGCCGCCGCTAATTTTCTAATATAGTCGGGGTTCTCGACGATGAAGTCCAGTCCGATCCTGGACGAATCCATGTCGAGATCCACCTTACTGGTCACCTGAAAAATAATAATAATAATAATAATAATAAAAAATAAATAAATAAGGCTATTGAAAAAAATAATATCTATTAGTTGTATAATTTACTATTTTTACCTACTATATTTTGTTAATTTGATGTTAATTTGATGTTAATTTTCAGTTTCATAATGATACTCATTACAACATTGGGTATAATCAAGAAGTAGGTACTGCTTCTTGATCTTAGAAAAAATAGTGTACTGACAACTGACAATGTTATGAATGTTGTTATGAACGTGTGTATTTTATTAAAATGAATTTAATTTGGGCCCCCTTTATTTCTTTGAGTCTGATTTTGTTGTTTAATTAATTTTCTTTGGGGGGGAAATGTTTATTTCCGCATATTATTTTTTGCATGAAGCAATTTCTGGAACCAAACTCGCGTTTTTGTACACATTTCTTTCTAGAGGTAAGTAATTTCCAATTTATTAAGAAAACCACTGTATAATGTGTGTGTTTAATAATATATTACAAAATGGCTATAATTATTTTAGGTGAATTGGAACAGAGATCCATTGTTATAGCTACTTTTGTTCATTAAGTCGTTAGATGAATGTCTGGACAAATGGCAGCACAAAGTTCCCACCTACTAGAAAAATAAAATGTATGCTGAATACAAAATCTCTGCACATGTAGTATTGGCAAAGGACTTTTGAAATGATTAGAGATTGGCTATTTCTTACATACACCTACCTCTAATAGCCACTCTAGTGGCTATTAAAAGATTGTAGTAATTTAAACGAAGAAAAAATTGAATCACAAAAGAGCAGAATTTTAAATCAGGATGCATTGGAAAATAAATTTGGGGACATCAGGTCGGTTTTGGATTTTAGAGAGAGATCAATATCAAGAAAAGTTAATTTATCCTGTAGAACAACCAGTAGTTTAAGTAGGATCTGCTATAACTTTATTAGAAGATTTCCTTGATAATAAATTGTAATATACCAATTGTTTCAAATGAAATTAAAAATAATTAAATTCGAAATTAGATTTTTCATTCAAACATCGTAAGGTAATCTATAATTAAGGGAGTATGGAAAATAGGTATACCCTGGTAAGGGACAACGACAAAAAAATTACAAAAATGTATTCATCTTTAAATAGTGTTTATTATTAATATTATTATTATTTGCTATGTTTGAAAAGTACCTCCTGCTGCAGAGCAGATCGAATAGATTAGACGACTAGTTGGAGAAGGTCCACCTAGTCACCAAATTAGGAGACGCACACGCACAAGATACACAAACAGACAACAACAGGGGTAAGCCTTCAGCCAGGTCCTGTTTAAATGATGATAGTATGTCATCCTTCATTCCTTTTTAGAAGGCATGGCATATAAATCTATTGATTTTGATGACCCTAAGAGGAGTTAGCAGAGGGGTGTACGGAATGGGTCTAGCAGGTTTCGATCCAGTTTACAGGATGGGAACTTACTCGACTCGGGCCTTATACATTTGTGTGAGAGTGTGTGTTTACGAGGTACTTTATAAACGTAGCAAATGTAGTTTGTTTTTCTGTACCTTACAAAAATATAATTTATAGAAAAAGAGTTTGGTGTATTATTTTTCCAAGTTTAAATATTTAATAATCAATAGAATTTTCAAGTTTTTTTTAGCAAAATTTACAAGAGTAATAAGAACTATGTTCACTGCTTATATTAAACTAATTAAAACTTCCTTTATTAAAATGATTATTTATATGATAAAAAATTTGATGTTATTGGAAGCTTTTATATTTTTCAATATACAGTGAAATAATAGTTTTTGTTTCTCCTGTAAATTTGTATAGAAAAATTATTTATTTCTGAATCCATGTTTGAACTTCCCGCCCTAAAGCATTTTTAATTTTCCCGCTATTTACTAGTGGCTCCATCATAGACTGGTTGTGGTTACAATCGCCCAAACAACTTTTACCGAACAAAAAATACATTGAGTTACACGTCTCGCTGGGTTATCTCTGATAGGTCATTATAAAAATAGTTCAATGCCAAGACAGCCTAGAGGGTCCGTTATTGACTGGCATGAACCATATGAAACTTGCCTTCGGCTCGTATCCTCCCGGTTGATGCTCGTGTATTAATAACCATCATGATCGTTGCGCAATATACTATAATAATTAAACCATCTAACCATGGTGCTATTTTACTGTTTATAAATTTTTCTCTTTGACCTTATCGTCTGGAAGGTGTGACAAATAGGAGGATTGTAATAATATATTACGAAACAAGAGTTGTAAGTGGCCCAATACGCACGAAATGAAAAAATTAAGTAAGCAGAAAGCAGGGGCGCATATCCGAGTGGGGTAATTACCCCCAAGAATTTTTAAACCTCATTTTTAAATGTTTTATTATCAAAAATAAAGTATTAAATATTCCCTACCCCCCCATTCAGACTTAAACTTATTATCACTACACGTAAACTTATTACGACTACCCCCAGACTTAAACTCTGAAAGCGTCACTGACAGGAAGTAGCTTGGACAAATCGACTTGCAATTATTAAGTGATTCACATTGAGGAAGTACTTCCTCTACGTTATTACCATATTCTATTTTTCAGAAGACAATTAACCCAACTATTTCGATTTTTTAAATTTTATTATTTATAAAATTCCCTTTTGCATTTATATTTTTGCGAATTATTTAAAAAAGAAACTATAGCAAACATACGAAGATATTTTATACCTAATCCGAAGCAAATTTTGGTTTCAAGAACTGTTGAAAAGGCAGAAGTATGATTCAATTCGAGTTCATGGAAATCGTACACCTGTCACATTAGCCATAAACGTGAATAAATAATTTTTATCTCGAGTTGAAAACTAAGCTCGTTACTCGTTTGTTATTTGTTTTTAGTACGGTCAATGGTGTGGCTGTTATTTTTATATATTCTTTTTTACTAAGACACTGAATTTAGGAAAATCCAGGAAAAATTGGTAAAAGCAATGATATATAGAGCAGGGACAGAAATTGAAAAGGCTTTTTGTAGGTGGAGAGGTGGTAAACGCCAAAAACTTTATCGGACGACTTCGAAAATTTTACGGTAATGTTTATCTGCCAGTGGCGTATCATCGAATAAGTAATTTTAAATGGTTACCGGCGGGTCCGGACAATCGTATGTATCTATAGGGCTAAAAATAAATATTTAAACAAGTATTATAATAGCGAAGGTCATAATTTTACAAAATTTTCACAGCTATTTCACAATTTATTGAAGTATTTACATTGTTAAGAGCATCTATAAAATAATTTTCTGCGCCAATGTATCGCGTTCGCTTCGGTTAGCTCCGCGGCAAAACTGTCAATTTCAGTGTTTGAAGTGGAATAACTGCAAAAAGCCTTTCCAACTTTTGTCCCTGCTCTACCTCTACCTCATGTAACCACAAGTACCTTTGGATACCTGTAATAGGTCCATACTAGAGGTCAAGAACTATCGATAGTTTTTCTATGGTTGACACAATTGATAGTTGAGGCATGAACTATCGATAGTTATCGATAGTTTTTTTAGTATGAAATAATTCAAATTTTAGGCAAAAAACAAACTTGGTTTACAAAACGTTTATACTAAACACAAAAATAATGTTGATAAGGCTTACCTTTGCCTTTATTAAACAAGAATCTTTCTATGGTTACAAAAACAAAAATAGCCTTTTCAAGGAAAAGAAAACTTAATCTCAAAACCGTTAAATTAGACAGGATAGATATAGAATGGGAAAATGAAGAAATATCTAGGCCTAACCCTGGACAACAAACTTCTCTTGAACACAGATGAGAAGGAAGTAGTAAATAAGGCCACAAAAGCCCTAATTGTATGCAGAAACATTGCAGGCAAACGATGGGGATGTAACCCAAACATACTGCGATGGATGTATACTGCAATAGTGAGACCAATCATCACTTACGGGGCTATAGCCTGGAGTAACAGAACTAGTTTAGCTACTACGAGAGCTAATATCTTAAAAGTACAAAGACTAGCCTGTGTTTGCATTACTGGTGCAATGCAAACCTATCCTACGGCCGCAATGGAGGTGATCTTAAACCTCACCCCTCTACATTTGATGATAGAGAATGTGGCAAAAAGGACACGATATAGAATAATCAGGAACGGAGTAATCAGACGAAAGTCTACTTGCTTCAGGATATGCCCCAGGATGAAATACTAAAGAAGTACAGTTTTGTGAAAAACTTCAAAACCACAGAGCTGGGCTGTAAGAAAGAATGGAACCAAGAATCCATCGTGCTTGCAACCGAAAGACGTGCTATTCAGTGGTATATGAACGGTTCCAAAACCATAGAAGGAACTGGAATAGGAGTGTATGGGCCGAGAACCAAGTACTCCGAAAGCTTGGGAAAATACCCAAGCAACTTCCGGAAATTCACGCCATCGAGAAGTGTATCCAGTTCAACATCGAGAGAAACTATCATAGACAAGAGATTATCATCATGTCCGATAGTTAAGCTGCCATCAAAGCGCTGAGTTCTTACGTAATCAGCTCAAAAATGGTCTGGAGATGCCTGGAACAATTGAATGAGCTAGGCGAGAAAAATAGAGTTACTCTCACTTGGGTCCCGGGACATAACGAGGTACAGGGTAACGAGATTGCAGATAGTCTTGCAAGGAAAGTAGCTCAAACACCCTTTGTAGAACCTGAGCCGTTCTGCGGTATCAGCAGTAACATAATATTAGGAGAGATTAAAAAATAATTGGGCAGTAGAAGAACCGATAATTGGAACAATCTCTTGGGGCTGAGACAGGCCAAGATACTTCTGGGTGAATGTAACCAGAAAATATCGGAAGCCTGCATCTGCCTGAGCAAGAACAGGCTACGTATTGTAACAGGGATCCTTACCGGGCATTGCCGACTAAAAGGACACCTAAGTAAACTGAGAGTAGTAGAGGATAGTAAGTGCAGATTCTGTGAGGAGGAGGATGAAACCTCCATTCACATCCTAACTGAATGTGTAGCACTCCAAAATCCAAGGG